ATATATATATATATATATGTACGGAGTTTCTGTTTAGCTTCTGTTAAGTCGGTCTTTCCTTTCAGTTCTATGAACACCTGTCAGTCAGTTTTCCTGGTCTCAAACGCACGGCTATCTCTCGAGAATGACTTCATAATCCATAGAAGTTAACATCGGATCATAGGGTATCTGGTGGGTTTTCAGAGGCTCTATTTGTAGACGAATATCCAGGATAGATCAGGTTTGAAGGTTGATGACGTTGTTATGCTGTGTTGCATAACATGGAGCTGGCCATGACCTACTTGGGCTCTCATTTTCGTAGACTTTATTCATCGCCGTTTTTCCCAATTTTCGGCCTCCAGGTCTTTCGAATGCAGCATCTCAGACCAGTATCAATACCTGCCAGAATTTGGGACAAACAAAAGGATCTGATATTGGTACCAATGTATCAATAGCTCCGATTCCCGGTAGTCTTACGATCCAACCGATGGCATTCCCTGAGTCGTTCCTTCCCAGGGCTACATCCGGATCAACTGAATGGAGCGCTGACTTTCAAACGGACTGGGCAGAAGTTGCTTTTGCACACAGTGCCTGTAGCTCATCACGCTCACCCTCCCATTCAACTACCGATCTCAATCGTTACACACTGGATACTACCGTAAACCATGGCTTCCCTAGTTCCTTTTGCTCTGGTGGATTTCTAACGTATACGAACATATCCGCACTTTGTGATGTCAAAAGCAAGACGGGTTACCAAGGTACGTTATATTGTCTTGTTAGTTTTTTGTCGCACAACCTCGTTTGTTCCGTCACAAGCTGCTACGGCTCCTGTTTGGACGTACTTTTCATTTTCAAGAAACCAACTCTCCTGCCATTCTCGAAGAGGTTCGACCAAATTTTGGACATTACAGTGTTGAATTTGCAGCTGTTCAACGTGCGAAATTGTTACCCTTATAATCCTGCTACAAGCACATTATAGACACGTCTTGAACGCCTCTGCTGAACACATGGGGATCTGGTCGCTTTGAATGCAGAGCTAGTATCGTTCCTGACCAGCTTGCTTTTCAACTTAGGCTATTTCAGTGAGACCTATGAGACACATGATCGAACGCTTGTTCGGCTTATCACAGTGTGTGAATACAGATAATACAAGGTGAAGGAGTTTCGAAACTCATCGACGTGTATCCTATTGCTTTGGCTTCAAACTCCATCGGATCAAATAAGCAAGTTCCGATGTTGGCCCCGGCAGATGAAAGAACAGACGAGCGAACTTGTTTGCTGATTACCCTATAGGATAGCTAAACGTTCGTGTGTCAGTAAATGTCTACAGACCTTTTTATCCATAAACATTGGAACAGGTTAGTGAAGTTGGAGAGACCATATAAATGAAGGTCGACGTCAACACTTCATTTCCTCGCTCTGTCTTAAAATCCAGCTAGTGTTTTGACTCTGTCTGGCAAGCCTTTTGTGCAGAAAGTAAACCCAGTAAACCCACCAGCCATTTTCCTGTTACTCTCAAAAGCTAACTGTACGATAGAGGCTTTTTCACGTAGGTTTTCATACATTTTGATGTTAGCTTTATTCTTTGACATTCATTTATCGTCTACGGGTTTCGACCTCCTTTTTATCTATATCTCCGGTCGCTACAGATCCGAGCGCCTTGGATATGAGGGTAGAAATGGGAGCCGAGGGCCTTACTAACTCATTTCGATTGAATAACTCCACTTCTATGATAAAGCCCGTTTCCACATATTGAAGGTGATAGTTTTGATGCAATGGCGCCATTGGTTGCACCAATTGAATGTCACCATCATTATCCATTTATGTATTTCATCCTTAAATCCGAACCCGGGGAGTTGCACCATGATCCAATATATTGGTTGATATCTTCATACTTCGTAGCTGAGTTGTGGGCTGATCTAGTTCCAATCATTCCTATCTTGCATACGTCTCACTCAATAGGGTTTGTTGGGTAGACGGTCACCCGCCATGTGGGGTACGCTGCTTAACCACTGGTGTGACGAGATTGCCTACCGGAGGGTGAGTCTTCCTTTCAAACACCACCTGGGGTCCCTAGCTTTACTTTTATGCGATTCTCATCAGATCAGTGCAACGCTTTGAAACATTACTTGGCATAGTGTATCTTTTGGGTTTGATCCGTACTGTGTACTCTATCCTCGGCACCTGAGCTGGTGTCAGAGGTGTCAGGTTGGTTGAACCCGTTCTGACCTTCATGTGTCGAGAAACCAGTTCCTTCTCCGTGTTCCCCTCTGGGCTTATCCAGGGGCTCCGCTATATAAGCGTTCTTTTATATGTTCATTGTTCCTACAGATTTTTTTACATAGAAGTGTTTATTGATCCTTTTCAAGTTCTGCAGATCACAGTCGCATCACTTAGGTGTAGGTTTGCCCAATCCAAATGACGAATAATTGGGCCTGGCAAAACTGAACCAACCAATACCGTTAAACTGGTTACCATAGTTTGACGTACTTCCCCCCAGTTGTCTCCTGTATGGTAGTAACAATCCTATGACGATGACCGAACCATTCGGTCGACTGCATCTGCCATGCTTGAGTCAGTGCTTGTAACCCATGCCGACTGCATCTTATTAGTATCGTCATGATTATTACTGACAGCAGCGTCAGATGAGAACACTGCCGTCTTTTCATTTCAACAAAGTCGTATAACGGTACGAGGAAATAAATTGGACATGGCGGGGGATATACCACAAACACTCGAGGTGTCTACATCTCCAACACTTAGTCATAATCTCGGTAGAAACTGACAGCATGAACACTACTGACATCAGTTAGCCGCCACATCGTTCACTGTCTCCGGATAAACATAGAGTGGGTCACATGGACCTCATCCTGGGAGGTGAACAGCACCAACGGACCAGCATCCTTCATTCCCTTATGCCATGTCAAATTCTGTTCACTACTAGGTTCACGCCACTCTGAATTAGACACGGAAAACGAAGCTTGTCTTGGAAGGGCGTAACTCTGCCATTCGTAACATACGGCCCAACCATCTTAGCTTACATTGGCTGCTGCAGTCTTTGGGGCTGTGCCCTCTGCTTTATTAAATACCTGTGTCGTGATTGCCTCATTGCAAATTCGTAGATTCTGGCTATAGTTCTGAAAATTGGGTTGTCAAAGGCCTGCAATTATCTCGGGTCCCCTAGCCGAAGTGACCAAATCTGGTATTCGTACAACAATACAGTCCGTACTGTAGTTTGATATACAAGTTCTTCGTGATTCGGTGAGGTTCTTTTTTAATGCCACAAGTGGCGCAACCTAATAAACGCATTCTGATCTTCGAGATTCCTGTGTTCACTTCGTCCGTCACCCTACCATCCACACGTTGGTCCTCACAAGCACATGTTTAGAAGCGCGGATCGAGCAGCATATGAAATCTTAATTTCGGTTCGTTTATTGTGGTAAGTGTTCTCCGAAATCCATTTTTGTTACTATTGCTACACTAATGTGTTCCGCAATTTATTTTTTTGCAATATCGCCACGGTTCACTCTTCGTCACTTCTCTGTCTGTTTGTAGAACTGGAATCTGTACTGTATAAAAGCTGCTTGTGTGATTTTGACGACCCAACACCCGAAGGTCGCACGGAATGGGCACATGTCCTGTATACCGCAAACTTCCATCCACATTGTGCTTTCACCATCGAACTCCAATGGTTGGTTGCCAGTGGTGCACGTCTGACCGAGTTGGTGAGTCAGCGTACCAACAAAATAGTGCAGGTGTGGGTGTCTCGTTTTTCTAGCTATTAATATTGACCAGTTTCTTAGGCAGTGCTAAGCCAGAGTCATTTTCAAGAAAACTGTTACGCTTAGGACTTCCAGTCCAATTTTGGTTTGGATATTGTTAAAAAGACAGCGTCATATATTGTATGATATCCATTTTCTAGAGTCAGAACACTGCCAACTGATCACAGGAATGCACCAATCAGAAGATATTATAGGGACCCAAATTATGCTGCATTTGACTCGTGTGTAATTGATTGTAGAAATCCTTGAAAAATCCACTGCAACCGAAACGCCAGATTACAACAAGTTATTCCACTACGCTGTGTTTTGATTTTAAAAAATTCCACAAAACTTGTGCATCATCGAGATTTACTCGCGCTTGATTGGTATACGCTCTTTTGCAGGGTATATTTCACTCTGACTTTCCGCCTGCGTCATTCACTCTTTTCGAATTAGGTCAACCACTGGCATAATCGTGCTGGAATGAGTGAATTTCACTTTTTCCCGATCCCCTGTCATCCTTTTGGTCATGCGGGAATATTTCCGAATGTTGATCCATTGCGCTGTCCGCTTTCCATACCGCTCAACGTTGCACCACTTCTCCGCTACGCAACTGAGATGCTTCCCAATCGCGCATCGTCTGCGGGAACTTTGAAAGACTCTCCTGTGTTACCTCCTTCGTGGAATGGCCAGTCCAGTTATTCAGCGATGGTTGTGGCATCCAAGTTGTTTGTCGGTACGTTTTAAACGATGAAAACTGCGGGTTGATTTAGCTTGCTTCGATCTGGTGAATAAATTGCATCACTGAATCACAGTATCATCCATCTGAAGAAAGGATACCATGGGGAAACGGACTTCAAACTTTCCTACTTATTTTTAGGGAGGATTTTACATTAAATAATGCCTGATGAGTAACAATCGTAGGGTCTTTCATAGGGCGGAGGAATCTCTTGGTGGAAGCACGTGATCCGAAGCACTGGTAATCGATAAACAAGCACCCAGCATTCCACAAACAGGGGCCACTGCAACAACCATAGACTGGCATCTTTCACTTCTCTTGATTTCATCTGCTCATTCAGATGGAATCGTCCGTAATCTTGGACATTGTGCGCGAATAACCAGGGTATAATTTGTTTTCCAGTTTTTTTTCAGCAGTGAAATTTTGGCAAATTAGAGTTGGCTCAACAGCTTGCTTTCCCCTCCATATGAAAAGTTGCAATCCTTCGCTTAGTAAATAACTGTAACAGGTGCGCCACAACTATTCGAATATTTTGTATCTGAGATGAGGAAAACTCATTCATTCGCGACATTCGATTGCACCCCTGTCATCCCTGGTACATTTTTATCTAGCTGTTTGTATGTAACCCTCATCTTCTCCCCGCCCCAGTAACCACTCATTGCAGCTCGCCTTTTTATCTGATTTCCTGACTAAAGTTTTGACAGATTTGACAGATGTGCCCACGTTTCTGTCATCCTTACTTTCACTGTCCTGTTTACGTTAATTTTCTGCTTTACTGTCCACCTAGGCTATCCTGGTGATCAGCAGTTGCACCTGCTTCGTTCATTTCAACATCAACTCCTCAATCGGTAAGTCAAGGAACTGAGAACCAGTGTTTGCACTCACATGGCTGTTCTCATGATGCCTGAGTGTTTCACCATATATGGACGGGGTCGGGGACTGTTATGCGTCCGGGTATGAGCTTATTTATTCCATTACTTGTTTCAGTAAGAGGATTTCGATTTTGTGGTTTCTCCGGTGTTCACTTCTTCACTAGACTGCCGATGTGATGGGATGGGGTCCACATATTGAGGAACAGGTTCGATTGTTGGAAAGAAAATCATGCTCAAAAAGTTGCCCAAATCGTTTTATATTCGATTTGACGGTGCTAACTGATGTACTCAATTTGCTAAGGAGACGGTGGAGCCACTTTGAATTGGGAATCATTGATCGGATAGCAACGTTATAGTCCATGCACTGTTTGGCGATCCACAAACAGCTCGTCGGTTTTCCTAAAGGTCATGGCCGATTCCCGTTTACAGTTACTCGATGATCAGAGGTCTATTACTCGTGTTATTGGTTCTTTTGAAGGAAGGGTAATGGTGTGGTTGGAATCTACTATTTTTCGGTCTGTCTGCTTGCCTAAAGTACAAACTAGAATTAGAATTAACGTTCTAAATTATCCCGACATCCAACTCTGATTTAGCTCAAATTTTGAATAGGCCGGTTTATTTGCCTTGCATATCTAGCATGTTCTGGTTGATTTTTAGCGGCTGGATCAGAACAATCTCTAGAAGAACATCATTTCAGTTCGAAAAATTACCAAGTTTTCAGCTTTCCCTGGGTGAAGTATATGTACCAACAATCTTTCTGAAGATTGTGACGACCTGTACAGTAACAGCACCAGTCTGTCTGACATAAAAGGGATTGAAGGTGTTCTTGTTTGGATATTTGGAAGCTCGTGGAATGTACTGAACTCGATTTGCATCGGATGTTATTGCATATCCACTGCGCTGATGTCGCTGAAATCGCGCGTTTGTGTTTGCTGATCAAAATCCCGGTTCTGTTTTTGTAATGAATTGGGGTCGAGAAAAGTGAACAGACAGGTTGGACCCGATAAGGACAGACCGACCAACGTTTCTGTTCAGCAGAGCTTTTTGGCGAGCGTGAGACCAAGTATTTGGTTAGCTAACCTGAACCGCCTATTCCCACATGATTGTCGTTTTTTCAACCTTGCACGTGGTGTACTATAAGAGCACCGCATCACTCAGCTCTATGTTTCCGAGTTCCCAATAGAACGTAATTTTAACCCACTTCAGGATACCGCTTTCTGGCTGAATACTAAATTCCATCGAATGCATGTTCTTCTACAACGATACATTTCCTGATATGTCCTTACTTCCTTGACCAGTAGAATCCACCGTGATTTCGCTCATTACTGCGAAATATAGAAGCTAGTCTTGACGGAGGAATGTTTTTGACGTCCAAAAACCGTCGAGTAGAAAAAATTACTGGTCCCAGACGGTTTGATACGAACGCCCCACTAAATCTGTTCAACCCCCACGTATTTCGCCAGTTAAATTTGATTACACCATTAGTTGGTACAAACTACGCGCGCACTGCAGCCTGGACCGCATTATTTGCACGTGTGTATTTGTTTGCCTTGTTGCCCCTTCTCGAGTATGTATGCACGGTCAATCGTAAAGTACAATGGTTGTCGAGTTTTACTTTAAGTCAGCGTGTGACAGCTAGACAAACTCTGCCAGGGTAGCAAGTTCCACCACACATCAGTCCTTCAGTTAGCAGTACTGCTCTTATGGTGTACCGCACACCTACAGGGACAAACACAAACACGCTAACGAGTCCCCATAGGTTGTTAGTCGCAAATGAATTGAGATTGAATGTGTTATTTTTGTTCTTAGTTTATCAGAGAAAACTTGGTCCGTTTTTTCAAGTCGGGTCTTGATAAGTTCGGGGGGAATTCGAGTAGATGATGAATTTGTTTACTACTGAATTGTCCTCTGAGGAGTAAACGGTGGAGATGGGAAATCAGGATTATTCGACATGTTTTTAGCGCCTGATCAGATTTGTGCAAGACTTAAAATTTTATTGTAATATAGCCCTGGTGTATTTTGATAAATGCTTCTCGGGATGACCCACAACAGTGGCAAGGAAATGATCATGACTGTTGAATTACGACGGACATTGACGCTGAGGCAATTAAGCCAAGCATTTGACATTCATGCAGTGCGGAGTTCTGACAAACCTCAGTGTTAGTATGCGTCAGCCTTGAACTATTTGCTCCAGGCAAGAACCCTGCTTACACCTCCTAACAGACATACGTATTTTGTCAAGAACTCATTGTGTAACTAACCAAATATACAACCACCAGTGCAGACAGATCACGAAGTACTCCTCTCTATCAAGGTAACATTTATAGTACGAGTCTTTTTTTATTTCTGGAAGTGTGACTCGATTGTTAATTGTCTGAAGTGGAGAATGGAAAACTGAATGATCTGTTGTTTAGTTTGCTTGAACCATCAATTATACGGCTAGGTTTGGAAAAACAGGAAGCACGGACGAATTCCAAGTGTCACTGACAAGTGTGTTTCGTAAATAATGCACCATCTGTTTTAGGGTAATTCACGTGCACACCTTCGACTTCTACTCCGAGATTTCATGGTTTCTGTGATCGTGCAATATGAGGTGTTGCACAAGATTTCCAGTTGGCACTCTCCAACCAACCACGGTCAAGTCTGGATAACTTGGGTTCACTTATTTCAATAATCTGATTATTTGATACACTATTCTATCCGCACCGCAATTGAGTGGTAACTCGATGTCATTCAACTTCCCTATGCGCATATTGATACCTAAACTGGGTTCGCTCGTGACAGGGGGTTTTATCACACAAGCGTTCTCGCGCGTGGTTCCTGGCTGACACGCGTGCATCAGATGGTAGGCTTTGCACAGTTTGACCTGTGCATATCGAGATGAAAATCACCACAGAAACTGAATGGTAGCTCACTGTCTAGGCTTGGTCAGCCTGGTAGTATATCAGCCCTCATGCTTGCTTCCAGTTGCCCGGCAAGTATACCCCGAAATTCTGCTGCAGCCGATTGATTATTCGTCCTCTAAACGCGAAATCGCTGACACCAACTATAATGTGACCTAAGGTTGGAAACCTACCACGTTACGACCGTTTGTGGTACCGAAACTCGAACTGGTGTCGGATGAAATGTTTTCGAAAATGCTGCTCAACGGGAATTTCGGGTAAGACTTGGAAGACCGGGAGACATGTGTAGTAAACTGAACCATATCCTCTGCAGATAAATGCTGTTGCAATAGTGGGAGAATCTTAGCAGAAAGTATCCGTTAGCATACCTGGTCACCAACAGTCCTAGCTTGGAACTAGCAAGTCCCCACGTCAGGCATTCAAATCTGGCTGCGTACTTCAACACGAGACACTGATGCGTTAATGGCAACTCGGTGAGAAAGGACCTTGAAATTTGCTATCGTTTTGTTCGCACTTGGAGAGCCGGACTTTGATAATAAAATTGTCTGAATTTTCGAAGCCATGGGTTACACTATGGTGGCTATGGTAATTACCCCACCTTGTGGTTTACTGGGCGCCTCGATTTAGGAACTTGCTGCTCGATTCGCGTAATATTCGGTTCATTTCGACAACCACCAATCGTGTTCGGATCAGGGCCACCGGATCTGGCATTAGCAGATATTGTCAGACGAATGGGATGTTGAAAATCTAAAAAATAAAACAGGCCGACAAGAAAAACAGCATGTTCATTATTGAGTAGAGCGAGTGGAGAGATGGAGCACCAACACTGATTGTCTAATATCACCTTGTTTGTGCACACTTTCAGTCATCAACAGTGCGAAGACCTGTTTCTTGCTTCATCTGTAGGTCATACATCACCCATCTCCTGCCTTCCTCAATCAGTCTTAGCACGCGGATAGCTACGGGGCGGTCAGCCACCTGGCATAGGAACATTATAATCGAATCAACACAGCTCGTCCAGCTGTACTAAATAAGCGAGCAGTCACGAACAGAATTCGCCACCGAAGACTCGGAGTCTCGCTTCAGCATTACTATCTTGATGTTGGATGTGCAGTTCTTCTGTGAGACACAGGCAGTCACACTTTCCCTTCAGCGCACAATGGACATGCTGTGCAGTCATAAAGCAGTATTGCACGCACGGCGGCGTTGTATACCCTGACACCTACTGATAAGCAGTCGTCGCCGGAGGCGGCTGAGCACTTGAGGACCAAGCACTGGCTGTCACAAATACATGACAATCAAAGTAAGTTGCTGAATGCAACAAAAGATTTCAGACAGATAAAACCAAGTGACGCGCTCGTTGCTGAAAGTTTACGTTCCATGCTACTGAACTAACTTAATCGTCACTAATCGTCCTATCCTAGGACAAATGCTGAAGGAGCAACTTTCTTGTCCAACTACCTCCGTGTATATTTACCGATTGGGTTGCCTTTCATGTGGCATGTTACATTGGCACATCAACTAAGAATTCATCGAAGCGTGTGTTCGAGCATGTTCCCACTTGGCTGACAAACGGAGTTGCACTTGCAACCAACAGCCTCGTCCCAACACACCTAGTAGACAAGTCGCACCGAGTGAATATGGACACCAAACGAGCCCCCAGATTACTACACAAAACTTCGTACAGCTCTTGCTGTCCATTAACATAATCCAAACCTGCGTGTGCAAGAGTGCTTTGTACAGTCCCTTCTATTGGGCTGGCCGACGTGCACGTACCCCGTGCGGACGGCTTATACACTGCTACCGTTCGCACTCCAGTGCAACATGTGATCAGAACTCCGTCGATCGTTCGACCTTGGTGAATCGCGCACCTACCACCACTGTTGGACATACCATATCGAGCTTTCAACGCTTAGTACGTTGTTTCATCTATGCCTGAACACTGTCTCTACCTGATCAGTTTACCTTGGCCATCGTCTACTTGTATCTAAAAAAATCATTCACTCACCCTCCTGCCATCAAATCACTTCAGAAGTTTTTAATCTAGTTTGGAGATAAGAGTGCTTTTGGAACTGCTGTACAATACTTTACAATATTCCCTCCGTTTTCTTAAGCTCTCTGTAGCTCGAAAAATTCATCTCCTATCGAGCTATCAGGACTTATCCCATTGTCATGTCACTCGCAATTCAGTGGTAGAGTTTTTTCAACTACTCACGAGTAGGTGAATGATTTGGCGAGTTCAACACACCATTAAAGGTTCTATCACCTCCCGGGACAACTACGCTGTTACATCTGCTCATAGATTTAATTCCATCACCATTAGTTCCTGAACTGCTGACTTCCATCGCCTCATTAACTCCATACGTACATCACAACCGATCCCCATCCTTAAGGTAAAAGAAAAGAGGTCAAAACAAAACGACCCTTGCGTAAACGAAAATTCATCTTGTGTGATCAGTTCTGTTGAGTAGATAAGAGCGTTCCATGTCAGGCACGTTTTTAGTTACGATTTCATCAAGCAGAGGCCTAATATCACTTTTCCTCTTGCCAATGTCTTGGTGGATCGCGATTAGTGGGTCCGATGGATAATCATCAGTATTAGGGACATCCAGTTGATGGTCACTCAACTTCGGAAATCGCTAAACAGACGGATAAGTGATGACTGTACAGAAAACATCCCCCATCAATTACACTATTGAGAACACAATGAACAAAATCTAGACTTTCTCACTACCAGGTATTAATATAGTGGTTGGAAGATTGCTGCTAGACCAAAGTTGTTTTTAATGCTAATATTTTGTGAACCTAACGCAAACAGTTGTTGAATGGTTCCCGTTCGAAGGGGATGCCACATGATTGCAGAGATCGTATCGTGGCGTAAGAGCTTTACGATCAGTTCTTCTCAATATAGACCACGTTGGAGGGCGCAGCTACACTTACTAAAGCGCTTACTATTAGTAAGATGTATGTTGCTAACAGTACGAGTCCGTTATCGATTAAAACCCCATACCATCCCGCTTTGTTCACACAATCAGCAAATACAATCCGCGCATCTATGACGCAAGCTAAGAGGCATATGAAATGTATCTTGTATGAGAATCTAATGGTCATTTTAGTAACATGTTCAAGCCAAGTCTGATCGGTTCACAAGTCTGATGCACAAAACGAAAACGTTAAGCGATTCTAAATAAAATTGTAAGTCGTTCGGCCGCAACAATCTACCGATGTGTAGCTGCCATGTCACCCGAAGGAAGCACGGGGACAGATACTAACAGACTACCAAAGCCTAAACAGCAGTTGAGGTGCGGAAATTGGGTTCGAACCACGAACCTTTCGATTAGTAATTTCGCGCCTTAATCAGTGCCCTATCTCGAGCACAGCGATTCCATATATCTACTTTGGTAAACATATGCCTGTCACCGCTAACCGAATCACTGAGTTATCGTGCCCAACAGCCTCCCACTACCCCCTCATATAAAACCCCTGTTTTAAAGCACATGCATGAGGGCGGAAATATCCCGTAGCTTTGTCGGGATCCATTGTACGAATACATACAAAGAAGGTGTTAGCGCGATCGATTCATGGTCATTCGAACCACAGCACACTTTAATGTCCTGGAAGTATCGGCTATTTTTTTCACTTTTGGTATTCCATTTTGAGTTTGTTCAAAGTGGTTTAATCTTTCTCCGCTAAAGGACCAAATTACATTTTTTAACTAAGATTGAACAGTTCGTTGATAACTTTCACTAAATTATAAAACACACCAATCGAGTACAGGAAGATATGAGAAGTGCATCAGTGAAGTTCGGAACTATAATCCCCTAACTTAGGCTTCTGTCTAAGCTTTTATATCACAATCGGGCCTACAACGTAATCCATAAAGTGGTAGGCGAAGCCGCTTTTGATTGTTTGCAGCCATTCTTATTCAACCAGACGGTGAATGTGTTCAGAATATTGTTGCTTGTGCGTACTTCTGTGGCTCAGATCGCTTCGGACAGCTGGCAAACCAACAGGACATTGCTGCTAATGGCCATATCAAAAGTACTGGTGAGTACCTTCGTTGCAGGTTGACTAACCAAAAACTACACGACATCTCTAGCATAGTGTGCGATTGTTATTCGGCTCCACATTTACACCAGAGTAAAGGATGAAAAGTCGGAAGAGTATGAATAGGTCACAGATTCGACGATCCGTACAAGCTGAAAGCTGTTCCAAACGTATGGTCTTTAGTTCTTTGACATTAAATATTTATACACATACATATGTTTTCCGTACTCACATCATGACGTGGCATGTATGATATTAGTGAATGACCGCGCTCCTCCCCAGTCAGACAGATGTTGGCTCTCTATGGTACTAAATAGTAAGTATTTGTTAAGTTGTAACACCTTTTCGGTGCCTAGTTGCCGTACCACACGGAGGCACGAGAGCTGATATAATTCCAGGTTTCCCAAGCATAGACGGGAGAGGTCGAGGTCCAGAGGTTGGGGTCGAACCATGGACCTTTCAGGATATTAAAAATCTAAAAACATGAAACAGGCCGGCAAGAAAAAACAGCGTGTTAATGATTGGTTAGAGTGAGTGGAGAAATGTGGCCTTGTCAGTAAGTTCGCGCCTTAACCATCGAGCTATGTCGAGATTAGTACTGATAAACATGTTGCTGTAGTTGTAGCAAACAGTGCGTGTTGCGCGCGCCTTCTGGATGTGAACCAAACTTGCCTGATAATCAACGCTGTTGCGATATCTAGTAGCCAAAGAACAGCATGTGAATGTAGCTGATAGCAAAGGCGTCTTTTGTACTATCTTCTAAGCCGCCGAGGTGCTGCTAAAATCTTGTGAGACGTTGTGCTTAGAATTTCTAATTAATAACAAGAATGAAATTGTTAGGTTTACCACATCTACACTCATCACACATCGCAATGTTTTATAACAACTTTATGGAAGAAAATCAATATGTTATTAAATTTTGGTTTAAAATATCCGACATGCGCACATCATCCTAATCCGAAGAAGTTCCGGTGTTAAGCGACCTGGCAATCGGTTGCGTAGGAATTCGATTTGGTGTGGGTGCACCATACCAACGCCAAAATTTGTGATATTCGGGAATCAGGCGAAACAAATTTTGAGTCACGGTGTGTAAACGTTAGTTACAAATAACATCAAACGTTGTTCCTAGTGCGACTGTAATATTTCGGATGGCACTGAAGAAAAATGAGCGAAGTCACCGTGGATGACTGCGTTTACCAATTCTCTATACTATTCGCCACCCCTCGAACATCGTTTTCCTGTTCTAATGGACGCTTATCCTTTGCATGTTCTATCTTGTGTGTACGTGAACGCTTCTATTTGGCGTTGCGGTTCATTTTTTTCTCAGGAACCACGTAGCTCCGGTTTGATTTCCTGCTAGCTAATGTAGCAGAAATGATCACACCGGACTTCAGCGAAAATTGACGCGCAATCGGTCCTTTTGCAATTATTCAAACTTTTCAGACAGTGCGAGCCACAACGTATGTTTATCTCTGATAGTAAACGGATTCTAGACCCGTGATGTCGTATTTGGCAGGGTTTTTGGTCGAATGTCTTGACAGTCTCTGCCGTTCTTGCAGGCCTTACGGGACCACATGAGGTAGTAATTTAGTGGGTCTTCAAGGATCTCCGGTAGAAAACCAAGTTTCGAAAGAGAAATAGAACAAAGCAACCGTTTGTTTTTTTTTCATTAGGAGTTCGTGCATACTTCCTTATGCCTAATCAGTCAATTAGGAAACTCGTGTTGCTAGGTGCGGACCGGAACGACGGCTTGGCACTCAAGCGGACAGGACACCTCAATTTGTCCGGAGCAATCAAACCTCCATTCTTGTCTGGACTATTCGGGCCAACGCTGCCATTTTTTCTCGTTTTTGTGATTCGATAAATCGTGAGTATTGACTCGTCGCTCCGAAAGTGCGGTAGATTGGACGAGCAATCCAATTGATTTGCGTATGGGTCATTGAAGGCACTTGTCTCATCCTAGGATTGCCATCACAGACTTTTGGATAATACATTTCATAAATTTGCGTGTTTCGACTCTCTGGATGACCACTTCTGTCCAGTTTCGATACAGAAAGTCAAGCAGCGAACTAACACAATACCAAACGATATGCATCCCCGTGCCTTACTCGTAACTTGTTACGAAATAGACCAAAAGATAGGACAGCATCCCACAAGTACGTCTACACTGCTACTAGACGTACGCTTTGAACGGCTCACAGTGTCGGCGTTTTCCCTATTTTCAGGTTTGGATTTATCCGTGACGCCTACGACGCTGACCAAAATCCCGCTGATGGAACTAATTTTATCATCTCAACCATAACCCGGAACTGGACCTACGTGCACTGCAGTGGAAGTATATTTGTTATGATTCCTGTCTATCGGACGGAGTCCCACATGTCAAACTTACCGTCGGAAGAGATGTCAACCAACCTTACGGGTTGTAACACTTGGACGTCGGTTCAGCCTCCACCGCAGGTAAGCAAGTCCGCCGGCCACCTGATTGTCCTTTACGAATGCAATACCTGGATTGAATAGTCTATGCTTCCTGGGCTTCGTTACTCGTGAAGACGGCCGGTCGCACATTTTACAATGCTCAAGGCATTTTTGTCGGTGGAACACGGAAATACTGCCTACAGATAATTTCCATTGAATTGCGTGTTTATCTCGGACGACACCACCACAAAAGCCGAGTAATGGTGGGCCGTTATAGAAAGCATTCAAAACCATAGAGTCACCCTGCTAGTGATGCCCTGAGCAGACCCCAGCCGGATAAAAACCTTATCATTTACTACATATTTTGAAGTGAAACAACCTAATCAATTTGTTCAATCAGGTGAAAAACACTTGGAACCGATTTAATAGTCGTCGTTTTCCGAAAAGTTTAGTAACAATCGGCAGGTTTATTGCTGGGTAACTTTTCGCTTTTGACACAAATGCTTCATCAAACCAAGTGACTAGGTTCCGAGATTGGTTGAGACTTAAGGCGGAAGTAGAACCAACCAGCTAAGTCAAGCTAAACCTCTGTTGAGTGTCGGCTGAGGGATTTTTGTGTGTTTCTGTGGGTGAACAAGTGTTGGGCCGATGGGGAAACCTACGTGTTTGGGTCCAGCTTAGGGTCTAGGTTTTCTGGTTCGGTCCACCTGAATGTCGTTTGAACTCTGTCCGCCTGTGTGGGTGAGTTAGTGCTAAGATAGTTGTGTAAGAGGGATGCTGGGAACTTTGGTCGGATTGGGATTCCCGCTTCCACCCCTAATGACTCTGCGTGGATTGACAACCACACAGTCACGTGTCAACTCGGCTTATCTAAGACAGCTTCCCATACGCTCGCCAGTTCCACACCCTCGATTCTATTCACGCTGTGATGCTTAGTACTTTCCACCGCCTCGGCTATCAGTCACTGTGGTGTGAATCACAGTCCCCCTCTTGAAACTTCCACGTTCTCCAGATCTATTCTGTCCCGTGTCTAAGGCATGTACCGCCATCGTTGAGTATTTGAACAGCGTTTGGTATTTGTCTGCATTCCTTGGTTTGTTCATCCTTCTTTCATGCTCACCAATTGTGGTATGCAATTCCCTGGCAGTTTGCCCTATGTGAACCTTAGTGCCCAGCAATAAACCTACTGATTGTTCCGAAACTTCTCCGAAAACCTCATTAAATTGCCTTTAGTCCTCGTTTCACAGTATACCATTAAGAAGCACCATTCATGTGTTTCACAATCCTTGCAAATAAAGTTCTATTAGTAAACTGTAGGGACACTGGCATCCTCGCTTGTCAACTGCTATCCAAAGCTCTGGCAACCAAACCACTTCGTACAATCTACAGCTACAACTGCTTCGGGCCCTTAGACCAGCATCTGGAACATGGACGATCGCCTAGATCGTAGTTGTACGAACAGCTTCACTGTTTCACTGACCGGTTTTCTACTCCGTTACGATACCCTATAGCCCCGTAGATTCGGTTACCAATGCCCCCTCCTATTTATAGTCTTTCTTCCAGTTTTTTTTTGTATTTTGGAGCTTTTGAACGTTTTTTTTGTATTTTGGAGCCGTCTAAACCCACGTGATTCGCTGACATTATATTCCTTATTCTCTTTTGCATCAGTGCAACCCAATGAACTCTTCGAAATCTCCTCAGAAAATGGATTCTGCGTTTTCAACCCCAAGCACACCTCAAACAGGCAGAGGAAATGCAGTAGACAATCCTGAGTACTACAATGCTTGTTTTGTAGAACAACTGAACGTCGGTTTCTTTTGGGCTTGGAATCATATGTTACCCAGGAAACGGCGTTGCTACCTAACCGGTGATGAATGTTTCCAGGATGCAATGCTAGCTGATTTCCGCGCATTTATGAATGCGGAAGATGACCGGCTTGTACATGCGTTTGAGGTGTTCATAGGAAATTTGAACTCCTCTTCTGACGATGATCCAAATGAATCTTTTAAAAAACAAGACTGAGTGCTACTTTGCTATTTTGTAAAAAAAAACCTTTTCGAAGCATATTTTGTGGATTGTGACGGATAAGGGAGATACATCTGGCGTTAAAAACGGGCCTATTTTCAGCAAAATTGGGCTCGTAGTCTGAAAACAGACTCGTCATCCTTCCGAGCGGCGCGTGACCTCGCTGGGGCAACAGAACCCACTTTTGTGGCATGTGCACCGGTTACGGGCGTGTTGGTCTTTGTCAAGTGAAGAAAAGAATGCCTCAGAGCGTCACTGGCTGAAATGCGTTTATTTGGATTCGGTTCCAGCAATCGGGCCAGGAGATCATAAGCTGCTGTAGGAAACACGTGGGAAGCGGGGAGTGCGAACTGACTGGTGCTATTCTTTGCTTCGGTCCCCTGTGACCCCGGAGACTGATTCTCCTTATCAACCGCCTTGGACAGAAGGGGAGGAAGGCCGATGAATTTCTTTTCGTGACGTCGAATCGCGATGCACCTGGAAAATCGAGGTGACAGGGAAAATGAGCAAGGTGCTCACAAATATGCGGCTTCGACATTTACTACTAAGCCCCTGTTGTAGTAGTCTGCCGCAGATAATATTACGCCTTTGAAGGCGATCTGCGTATTGCAGATCAATGAGGGTCTCGTCAAGACCTTTTTGAGAACCATGGCTTTGAAAACCTTTCAGAGTTCATCTAACTATCTAGTCGGCCACAAAACTGAATAGGAGTAGAGAGGGACTGGGTATCCTTGTCGGACAATACTTTGGGTACCTGATGTTTTGGAGAGCTCCTCATATACTCTCACGCCCCGAAAGTCTGCGAATACAATATATTATGCTGACAAACTTGTAAGGAATTCCTTGCTTATTAAACGTGTTAAAGAGAACAGACTAGTCGACAGAGTCGAATGCGTTTTGAAATCCAGGAATACTAAAATCGAGTCGCTGATAATTATGGCGTTGTTCTAGCATCTGATGGAGAAGAGTTGATCAATACAACCCCTACCAAACTTGTTGCTTTTGGCCCGCCGTAACAGGCCACTTAAGGCATCACAAAAATAGCCTTTAATCGTGTCAAAGCGACAGTCGGCTGAGGCATGGACAGACAAGATCAACTTCCTGCTTGTGAAATTCATCCACAGACGTTGCTAGAAGAGTCACCCAGGCCGAGACAGAAACAATCGGAAAGCCAGGTTTGGGTTCGGTTGGGTCCTGCGCTATAACCGCTTAGCCCTTTCGAGCAGGAAAATGTCTATTCTTTCACGGCCACGACTATCAAATTTGACGGCATACCTGAAAGCAACCCTGTAGCGGAAGCGCCCCGCCTTTTAACATGATCTCTAAACACTGTCTTCACTCTCCTCATTCTCTCGCCGTATACCCTTCTTTGGTTCGAAAACGCTAATAAGGAGGGGTTGTCTTTAAGACGTAGGGTAGACAATCTTGACTGCGTGTTCCCCTGATGACACGTTCATTAGGTGCGTCGTGCTACTACTACGTTCTTTACCAGTTATTTTTTTGCTCTAACCGGAAAGGCCCCAGCTCGGTCGTACTTCTCTGAACAGACTAAAACAGGAGAAAACGGAAGTCGTGGCATACTGATACTCCCTTCCGAACCATTTTATCTGCCTTACCTAACTTCTTAAAAGACATCGACTAGCAAATAACTCACTGATAGGATATTCCAAACGTCTGACGTGTGTGTATGATGCAGTAACAGCATCCATTCCAGTGTAGTATGTACAATGCCCTCCAGAAAGATTACCTTCAGCGAGCTACAAAATCGGTCATAATTCCAATAAGCTTACCTAGATTTCAGCTGTTTGTGTGCAATCCTGACATGTTTATTCCAGAGACACTAACGCCATTGCGACTGTCATATTGGAGACTTGTTTCAAACGCACAGATATCAAAAGACATTCATGCGATTTCCGTCAACTTCTGCGGCAGCATTGGAATTACATGGCCTATGGCTCTGAGCTCCCTCATTTCAACAGTGTTTATGTTCTTGCTGTAAAGCCTTCTGTGCATGTACCTACTTCAGTTGCAACGATCGGTGGTACGGCTTGCTGATTCTTCTGTCTTTCATCCGCACAAGCTTGGTCTTCTGCTTTACTAGGGCTCACTCATAGATTCGTAACCCACATCTGAACATAGCGTGAACTCTTATTTATACCCGTGTGGTCTTGATTAGGCTTAACCCACAGACATATAAACGAACGCCAGGATCACTGCAGTGTTGGATTGGCCTGTGGGGTAAATAAGTGACAGCTCTTCATTTGTGTTCAACCGTCGCGAAACGCATGCCAAGCATCCGTTACCACCTCCCGTTCCACAAAAATCGTTTGAAGTATCTGCTCAAGAGCACTGTTCTCAGTGAACATACGGACTAGGAGTGGTACACACGTTTCATTCACGGTTCCAACCAACATTCTATTCCGTTTGGTTCACTTCGGACCTTAAAAATACAGTTTCTGAAGATTCTTCGACAGCCTGCGATCGGTTTCGCTCTTCTTGGGGCACATCGGGTAGGTCCCCAAATTTGCCAATGGGTGTATTTTGCCAGGATCGTGACATCGTTCGCCAGGAAAACCTGGGTAACACATTGTCTAAAACAAGCAGTGACTGGCTGCTGCTCAAAAGGTCCGTACTGGCTTGCGTGACACAACAGAGAATTTTAGTTATCCGCATACATGGTGCAGCGAAAGTTAGGTGTCGACTTAGTCTGGCTTTTCTGCATGGTCACATGCCCGGGTTATGCTTCACGAGCATATTATGATAAGTTACACATGTGTCTATAGGGTCAGAGAGATTTACGGAAACTGGTCCAAAAATCAATGTGCTGCTTTTACAGCGATTTCTCCCTGCGAAAGCAGCATATTTTAACTGTTTCCACTGATTTAAATCGTGAACTTCATCTCAGCACTTGAGGGAATTTTCGGTGATCGTCTTACTTTTTAGCGAGAATTCCGGAAGTTAGCCAGGCTTACTGGTGAACACGATGTTCAAAATGGATTGCGTTGAACTTGCCACTGAGCTATATGACTCTGTAGAGCTTTGGATAAAGTTTCTTCGAATTTACTAGGTCTTGGCAGATGAATATTCTCTCATAATTCACTACGAAACTGGATTCAGTGTCGCAAGGACATTTTGCTCTCTGGAGGCCTAATGCTAAATTGGCAGAGATCACTCACCTGCCAGTACCCGAGAATATGAAAGTGAAGGGAGCAATCTTTGAGGCAGCTTCTGACAGCTGCATTTTAACTTCGTTCCAGGTAAATTCGAGGTAGTGAAACTGCATGTCCTTAGCATAAATCGGCCGCAGAATACTTCAGCTACCAGCATCAGCCATCATGGCAACTTTGGGCCCCGCAACTCAGTGCACAAAAGCATAAAACCTTGGTTGTCCACATATATTAAAAGATCTGGGAGAAAGTATTTATCCGAAACAGCAGTAGGGCTGGTGCAGCCGCCGTTCAGAAGCTGATTTTTTGAACCAAAGCGATTTGAACTGGAAGTGGTTCGCTGTATTCTGTGTTGGAATTATATTATAGGCATTGTCCGCGCCGACCAGTTATTTCTTAACTAGAACGTCTATTATCCAGCACTAGCATTTATTACAGGCGTATCCCCGTACGTGTTGGTGAAAAACGAGAGGAAGATTTCAAACAACTACACGGTGGCAAATTTGATCCATATTCTCTCGGGTGTTTACAAACCGTTTCGAATGCAATTTTTGTGGCAGTAGCTTCGAACTGGTGAGCGAGAGCCGTGGTTCCAGGGAGCTCCATTCATTCACCACGCATATTACCAAACAAAACCTTGGATAATCGTTTGGCGGCACCTAGTCTGGTAAAGCTATAGTGTTGTGCAACATGAAGAGATATGACAACCACTTGGGGAAACAACTCACCGAATGCCATTCGAGATGAGTCAAACGTAATGCGTACGGAAAATGGCTCAGTTCATGAGACTGGATAGTTTCGTGTGTAACATCCCAGAAACCATGCGCAATGAAGGGCTTACCGAGCTTTCAGCCACATACAAGGCGTATCGACTGTGTTCATGGGCGGTGGCTTTGGGTCGACTAGAAGACGCCTGCCCAAAGTTTTGGCACAGGCTTGCATACGCTCATATCCCAGAAGATGGGTAAAAGCGTGTAGCACATCCAGATCATCATCCACCTTGATGAATGGGTACCGACCAGAAAGAAACGACAAAAAAATCACTCCAGCAGCCCAAACATCCACAGCAGTAGTCTGATCTACATGTCGCATCATTACTTCAGGAGGTCTAAATCCAAGTGTGCCACCGCGACGTGCAGCATTAAGTCGGGGAAGTTGCCGACAAACCCGACACACTGTGAGGCGGAATGCGCACACACAGTTACCTGGAATTGGCGGAGCTGCTGCCTGTGTCGTTTGGATATGACTCATGTTCAGCTTCGGTGGGAAGTTGTTTTGGGTAGCTCGATAGATTGATCGGCTTTCCGAATGTGGAGATCTACCGGCAATACCAGGAGATATTCGACCTCTGATTTCTCCCGGGAGGTTAAAAGATGCAATAGGCGATGTGTGGTCCGTTAGCTTGGGAGTCTTGGCTGGCTGAGTTGAGGAGTCCTTTTGTACAGGGCAGAAGAACCGATAACCGAGATATACTAAAGAGTGACAAACTACACTAAACAAGCATAAGATTTATTTACGTGACAGTGCTCTAAACAACTATAAACAATAAGTCGCATCAGCTTCCAACAATGTGCACTTATTCATCCTGAAGTCTAGTGCAACAGGATGTTTTCAAGCATGCCATTCTTTATGGTAGTGTGTCACTTCTTCCGGGCCGAACCAAAATAATGAAAGTTCATCCTTACGGAGACAAATCATCCGAGGCGTTCGGACACCCGAATAGAGACCTAGTGAAAGCTCCATTCAACCGAGTAAAATAACGCATACCACTCGCTTTCAGATGTAATAAATGGCCACAGCAAGAAAAAGAGAGGCTTTGATTACCCAAGAAAGATTATCGGCTGGTTGGAAACACTCTTGTTTCGTATCACAAATAAATATCTTAACTAGGTTACAATGGATTACCATCAACAGTAAGGGTAATAACAATTTTGAAAACCGGCGTTGCAGTGTGCCTCATTCATTTCAAGGTGTCAGAATAAGGTATTTGAGCGGGAGAAATGAGGGAATGGTTCCCACCACAAAATTCGAGGCGTACACATCTCCAGACGCTCAACCGGATAGTCTGGATAGAGTGACAGCGCGGTTCGCAGCCACATCTTACAGTGCCCCCAATCGAGTGCAGCGAGGAGTAGGTCAGCCTCCCGCTAGAAAACAGTAAAGGGAAACCCAAAGTTTCCATGACCTCCATGCCTCTTGGTCAACCCAAATGTCGCCCGACTTCTGTTACGCACCACTTTGAAATTGGAAGAAAGAACGGCTGCTATAAATATACGACAATTCGGAACCCAGCTGAACCAGAAACAGACCTTTTTGGACAGCTTGACAGCTTCAGTGGTAACTTCATTGAGCAAAATACCACTGAGGGCTTTAAACGCCGTTAAGGCTGTAGTTTGCTGAAAACTTACTATGCATATACACATTGGGAAGTGGTCATCATCATCGGCTCGTGACTATTAAGTGTTCTGAACGAAACCGTCAGGTTTGACGGATACAGTCTGGGACGGAAAGCACATTCATCGGGAATCGCCTTTCAAATTCTAAGGCAGCTAAGACCAGTACCAAAGCACACTGCTATGCTTCCAAACTACAATTCCGGGATTACCATAATGCGCAAAGAGAAAAAGATGATAAAGAAAAGATAATTGTTCAGCCGTGGTATCCTTTCGGTGATTAGCTGTCATGCCAAAGGAAGCAGGCACGATTCCTGGGATAGTGCCAAGTCGCCCAACCCTCGACAGGAGCAGTCGAGATGCTGAGGTTGGGTTCGAACCACGGTCCGTAAGCTGGTGCCTTAACCACTGAGTTATCTCGAGACACCTTCCTGACGGTGCCCACTCCGTCTGAAAGGTAACATCAGCGTTCCCGTGAACCACGAAAGCGTGTAAGATCTCTCTCATACGGAACCTAAGGTGAGACCAACTCTTTACAGGCTGATAACGCTATTAACCAATAATGAGAAATGACCCTCTAGCCAGTCAACAAGGCATTTCACTGATCATCTGGGGATTTAGTTGTTCTAGTCAGTACTGCAGTCTAAGACAACCGGCGACTTCGAACAAACAAATATTGACCGACCGCAATCAGATAGTGGACCAATCAGAAGTGAACATATTTGAACATCCAATGAAGCATGAAAAGAGGACAACACTGTGCTGTTTGTAAATGAATGTTTGTATTAATACAATGAGATTTCTCTGGAGTGAAGCGAGTCCTTTTGGTGGATTTCCAGGAAAACATCAACCCTCCCCATCCCCCCAGAGACCGAATACCCATCCTCCGTGATGAAGGAGTATTGCAACCAACAAGCAAGTGGTTCACTCAGAAAAGTGCCGAAGAGTTTTGTAACTGAGGGTTACCGATCAAAAAACCAATGAGTGAGCGCAGGTTTGTTTTCTTTGCAGGCAATGTTGGTTTAGCTCAGTCTGTCAGTTACATACCGCATACCATAATTTGGCTCTAATGGGCTACATATTTCGCAGAACACAGCAATTGTGTTGTATAATACAAAGGGGGAGGGAGATGGCGGTTAGAGCGGAGCGAGAATTTATTGACCGGAACGTCCGTGGTTCAAACCTGACCTCTGCATCTCGACTTCTATCTAGGCTTGGGCAGCCTAGCAGCATCCCAACCCTCATGCTTCTTTCGAGTGGCATGGTAGCTAAGCACCAGCTGAACGATTAACTTCTTTTATCTTATTACAATCCATACGTAAATGTTGGCTATACTTGAAGTCCCGAAACGTCGAAGGCAAGTCAGACCATACTGTTCTGACTGGAACTCAATTAGCGACCAGAAAACAACTCTGTACTAGTTATTGGGTCGAAATCAAAGCAAGGGGAACGAATGGCATGCAAAATAAATCATACCTTTTCCGACTCAGAGGGATGGTTTCTCTTTGAACATCGATTATTTGAACTTGCTGGTAAACGGCTATCTTTGTTATCGTAAGAGTCGCAGTCCAATTCCCAACGTTCATCTACGTCTCCGTACGCTTCCGAATGGGCCAAACCAAAGTCAACGAGGTACATACTATTGAAAAAAAGTCATAAAGCCGACTGATGACATTACAAACCGTCGCGTGTGTTGATCAATTAGAAAATTTGTTGGCTTGACATCTCGGTGGATGATTCGATATTTGTGAATATAGGCTAGAGCTTGAAGGAGACAGCGCATGTAGCGTATAACTTCGGTTTCGTCAGCGGTAAGATAATACTCCTGGAAATGATCTTGAATAAATAAGCCATGCGCTAATTTTTACCCCAAACGGAACATAGCTTATGAATGGCATAAGAATGAAGACGTGGTCACGAACACGCCATGCTGTATGCATTTTGATTACATGATAACTGCCCCTGAATGTAGAAAGACGGAGTGAAAATTATCAAGCCTGACTTACCCAAGTCGACGGAGGATACGTACCTCATTTTCAATTCTGCGAACGTCAACTGTGGGGATGAGCATTTTCAAAGCATATATCCGTTTTGACTCTTTGTCATGCTTGGCTTGTACACTAAAAACAGATGCAAACGTGCCCTGGCCTTTCTTTTCCAAAATATTAAGGTGTTCGGAGAGTTCCGGAAAATCCCTGAGGTACTGAGCCGTACGAACTTTGCTTTCAATCATAATTCTTTGTAGAGCTGACGGCCGGCCAAATTAAATGAACTAAAAGTTCTGTCATCCGTCGGAAGGAGCTATAAAGGGAAGAAAAAAGTCATCGGAAAAATTATAGCTACAGGAAGAACGACGCAGTTCCTTATTATTTCGTGCAGCACAGTGGATTAAGTGCCCGGATCAAAACCATACTAGAAGATGGGATAACGGCTTGCAATGTGCAGCCGAGTTGTGCAAGAGAATTCAAATACCGTTTTTTTAGGTATTCGATGTTTTGCGCAATGAAGTAAATACTGTCTCATAGAGTATGGTCAAATCTAATGTGTTCGCTTCACTTGGTACGGCTTACGAAACCCTGTTTGGACTACGCGTTAGCAAGTCACGCGTGGGATCGAAATGCTCCCAGGGAATTCGCTCACATGTCGAATACGCTATTGTAATCCAGACAATATTAAATAATCTAAATAATCCTTCGCTGCGGTTTGGTACGCGCTTCACACCTGTAAAGTGTACAGTGCTGCTGCAAAACTGACTGGGCTCGAACCCTAACCTAATGCTTACCGATGAGCAAATGGTGGTAGTAGACGATTTTGTCTACCTAGGCGGTCATATCAGTCCCGGCAGTGTAGCCAGATGATACACCCATTCGGACTGGCAAGGTCAGTTCAGCTTTCGTGGATCTGCACCACCTGTGGCGTAGGCGTGACATTAGCTTATCCATCAAGGGTCGAGTTCATAATGCTGCAGTGCGCTCCATACCGTTATACGGGCCGGAAAGCGGCCGCTGGTTGGTGTCTGCGAAGCACTGCCTGAGTCCAGTGGGAACTCAGGATCAGTGATGCTGAAGTACGTGAAATAGGTTTCAGTAGAAATAACTCGCCCACAATACACGAGCTGATCACACTCCGCACTGGCTTAGTCACGTACTCCGTATGCCAGTTGGCCGACTTTCTCGAAAAGCCATTTGCGCACAACCATGCGAAGGGTGGAAACAAGCCAGTGGAGGTCGAACAATAACTTGGCAGCAAAGTATGAAAGTCATTAACAGAAAACTCAACTGCGCTGATTATTTCCATTCCCCTGTATGAGGACCTCAAGAAGGGACAAATCAATGATTAGGGTTGAATAAGGCCCAGTCGCACCCTGAATGATGCTCATGCATCCCAGCTGTTACCTTCAGTGCATAGCTTCCCATTCCGATATCCCCAACAACAAAAATCCACTGACATCCCCGTATCCCTGCACCAATTGTACCAAGTTCCTCCTCCAATGTACAGTCATTTGCTCCACCTCTCCAAATAATCAGTGACCGAAAGTGTGGTAGCTGCAACCACTGTACGGCATGTGTGCGCTTTTCACAGCCGACATCGCTATCGTCCAGCTGTAGCACCCTTGCCGTGCCTAACTACCATGTCACCAGAAGGAAGCACGAGAGCTGGGATGCTGCCAGGTTGCCCAAGCCTAGAAAGGAGAAGCTGAGAGGCAGTGGTAGGGTTCGAACCACGGACCTTTCCAACAACTAAGCTACCTCGCCATATAAAAACTCGGTCGGTAACCGATGAGCGGAACACTTTATGTTACAATCTCACTTCCTGTACTACATTCACTTCTAGTGCACTCCCGATATGTACTATCGGAGAAGCGTTAGCCAAATGTGGTTCCAAGTTAAAGCAATACACCAACAAGATGTCGAGAATGACGCCTCATTGCAAAGCTACAAGGTCCCACTCTTTAGGTGAAAGCCGTTACGCTAAATCCTGCGTGACCTAAGAAACACCGTGTTAACTTTCTATGGTACTACATGTTCATTTCAATAAAATCCTTCGGTATTATCAGACTACGGTGACAATGCTGGATGCGGGTGCCCTCATTCACCTACGAGTCGGCCTTAAAAATAGGGTATCGAGAATTTGATAACTGCACACCGAATTTCCGTGGGTGCTGCAGTACCCCACCTACTGAATCTAAGGACCTTCTTGATGGGGGAATGGATGTATAGACGAGTATGTCTATTAGACAGGAGTTTGTTATTCTGGAAGGTTTAAAGGTAACCACTTCCACTAATGTATTTATATGTTCATCCGTCTGCATCCCAGTCGCCCTAGGATAGACTCTGCAGTTTGTAAAATAAAGCTGAACATGAGCTCTTTATACCTTGATCGTGTCGACTCGTCTTCTATGACAGCGGCAAACTTGACATCGATGCTTGAATGGCACCCCAACTGTGACAGATTACAATAATTCAACAAATAAACGGTTCTGGGGGATACTGATATCTTCAACAATCGGCTCACTGTTAGCAGCAGAAATTCAGCAAGACGTCAACCTTCAAGCGCAATGTATTCGGCCCAAATGTCCGTAATTTTCAAGAAAGTGTTGAAGCTCTGGCGAACAGTCTGACAGCCCTATTAGTGAAAATTTGGAACCAAACGAAAATACCAGTGGAACAGAACGTCTTGGTCGGGATTATAATGTTCAGAAGGGCACAAGAGGATAAGTTTTGATGGACTGGTTAGGAACTAGATCAACGCTCGAATCAGAACAGGACAGCCTTTGAGAAAATTCAACACCTATGGCACCGGTGACCTAAGTTAATCTGTTCTCTGCTCTCCCATTTCCCGGTGGCCAAAACTGTAGCGGATGGGACCAAGGTGCCCTTGGCACATGATAAACGGAAGTGAACTGAAATTAGGTTTCTTTGAGGAAAAAATACTCATAAGGCTCCCGAATACTCCTCAAGGGCCCAAGACCAGTTTCGTCCTTCTTGGAGTACATCAGGTAAGTGCAGTCCCAGAGTCTCCTTTAATTTATGTCCTACTTGAACCCGAATTGCAGGAAATTCGACAGATACTGTCATTTGCACAGGAATTCGGTAATGACCGGAGACAACTGAATGTATGACGTATAATGGTCTTGTTCAAATGAATGTGCTAAGTCAAGCAGCCTCGTGTTTCCATTAGGATGATATTCGAGGTATTGTTAGTGATCTGGTTGTAAAGTAATCAGGTTGTTTATCAGAGAGTGACAAGCACCAAAAAATATCTATCTTACCAGAATGATGACGATTACACAAGTTATGTGCACTCGATAAAAGTAAATACAATGCAAAAATGGAATATGCTAAAAGGTGACTTATCGTGAGAGCAACTGCTGAGAGTTCCTGAATAAAGTTCCGGACGCGGGACATAACTTCTATGCAGTATAGCTGCTACACGTGTTACGTAGCTGTACTTGTGGAGCTCGGTTGACTTCCTATCCTGTGCACGCGGGTGTTTTTTGGGCCGAATTGTGTGCCTATTTATCGTATGCAGTATGAGGAGAGGGGGTCCATTAGTGTTTGATAACTGCACAAACATGGATACAACTTGACCTGATGTGGTTGAGATTCATAAGCCTGGCGCGTGACGCAGACGGTAGCCACGTAAAAAAAATGGATGGGAAATTGTAGCGTACACGTTGTCGGATAAGGTTGCAAGTGGGACAGGAATTGTTACTTGATTTGAATGTTTGTGACACGTGGGTGGCCGATACAGTGTTGCCGTGTAGTTTCTCACAGGAACACTAGTCACAAGATTGCTGAGAACTCTAACAGCTCACGACCTGTTACGCCCTTCTTGGGACTCATCAGGTAGGCGACTTTCCGTCAACCTTATATTCTACCCAAACTCAAATTGCACGTAAATCACCAAATAACCTCATCTGAACGGATTTAGAAAGAATTGAAGCAGGCGGTGTTTCACTCAAAGAACGCATCCAGCACTGCAAAATAAGGTAGATGGGCTATGTGATAAGCGCTGTCTTCTGTGCCTAGGTCTAAGTGGCGAAAACCTGCAGCCGGACAGAAATTGATATGAGATTAGGCCATGAATGATGACGAATGACACTCTCCGTGCTTGGCTGGAAACACTGGACGATATAGCGCCTAACCGATGTCAGTGGTATTCATGCTGTCAGATTCAATCCAGGTCGTCTGCCTGAAAGTTGGAGGCACAGCCACCTCGGTTGTTTGTGGTAGGCTAGCCATAGGCCTCACTCCATCTCATTTGTCGACAAATGAGTGATTCAACTGGGATTCAGCGGTACAAATGACAGTATCTGGTGGATTCCGCGCAATTTAGATTCAAGTAGAACATAGTTGACGGAAACTCGGGGACTGCTCCTACATCATGAGCCACCAAGGCGAAACCGGTCGTGAGTTGTTGGAGAGTTTGCAACCTTGTGGGCAATTTCCTTCATGAAAATATACCACGGTATTTCGAATATCGTACCAAGTGAAAAATGGGGCGGCCTTTTTGCAGATCATTCAGTGACGATGATATACAGAAGAATATCACTGAGATTTAGATAAGACTCGTTACATTTACTCGCAACTTCGCTGCACAACTACCGAAAGATTCTAAATACTGCCGTGTTACAGAAACACCAATGATCAAACGTCTAAGGACATCTGAGATTCCCTGATGGAAATGGCCAAGTCGTGCAACCGTATAAATTGTCCCTGAACTTCCCTGAAATTCGCCGACGATGTCCAGCGTGGAGCTAATTAAAGAACGCCATTCGCGCCTCGATCTGCTATAGCAGGGTCACGGATTATGCAGCTGATGTGTAGCTACAAAAAAACCAAATTATTCATTGTGAAGTTTCAAAGGGACACAAAAAATAGGAATTAATAGGAAGCAAAATAGGGAGACTTAGTACTCTGAAACCGCAGAAGAACACCAAAATATAGGACCGTTTCTGGTGTTCTGTCTGAAACACTATGTGCAGACAAATAATCGTCAGACGACAAAACGTACACATAACCCAAGTACACAAATTTCTCGAGATGTTACCGTTATGCATAGAATCGCGGCTCCACACAATATCCAAGAGAAATGAGAAAACAGAACTGGGGAAATCCTGATGGGCTCTACCAGTTGTGAGGAAGATTATGAAACAAACCGGGAGCAAGGGAATAAAAAGTACGAAGAACGCTGCAAAATTAGAGGGCATCCCTCTCTGGTCAAGAATAA